CAATTTTTCACTTTCAATTGTCCGTACAATTTTTCCATTTCTTTGTTTCAGTTTACACAGTACTTCTACATCTTAAAGATAATATCTCACCAGGTGACTTCTTGATGGTGATACGTAATCTTCCAGTAGCTCAGAGTCTGTGGTTACAGGTGAGATGATATACCACTCATACCCTCCCAAATAAGTCAACTTGGATAGATATACACAATATGTATATATACATCAAATTTGATCAAGACCTAAAGTGTATGAAAACTAACAAATAAATTATAGAAAAATAAATGACAATTTGCATAATATTACACCAAAATGTCAGCACAACAATTTGGATGTCATATATTTATTTTTATTTAAGATAGACATTTACTATAATGTTCTAGATTCCACCTAACAAATTTAACACAATTTCAATATACGGGTCATCATAACAGTATAATATTCTGTTATTTCTGCTTCAGTTTTGCCGAGAACAAAAGCATGACATGCTACAGGAGATATATTACCAGAATGATGATTTTATGGAGATAGCAAACTGTAAAGTGATTGATAGCTATAGGGAGAGTGTAAGTATGACAAGATTTTTTAAACATTTATCTTCTGAAGATTTGAAATATTGCATTAGTACTTGTTTTAATCATGAATCGAAATGTACTACTCTTAACACAACATACCATTTTCCTTCATCTGTATAAATATTATTTTATAAATTTTTTAATTTAAACTGAAACAAGTTTCTATTGACCGATTGAATTACATTGGAACGTTTTCAAATTACACTCATTGATTGGCTAGTTGAATTCAAACTGCTGTTGAAATTTATTAATATTTATAAAGGTGAAAGGAACAGGTTTGTTGTTTCAAGAGTATTTTACAGAGACTCTGAAATCCGAATGACAAGCATATTCTAGACTGGGAGAAAGGGCACTTTTTTAATGCTATTTCAACTGATATTTTTTTCTAGCTGGATGTGTTGTTGTCATAGCAATCATGATTTCATGGTTTTCTCTATATAGTACAAATGTATATTGTTACTAAAATAACTATTTAACTTATAATAATAAATTAAGATTTGCAAAATAAACCACACTAATTTTTATTTGAAGAAAAGGCACAATTTAGCTTATACATGTATTTACAGTTGAATCAAAGCACATATACAAAGCAAAATTTGATACATCAAAACAACCTGTGAAAATACAAGCAGCTCTCTGATTGGTCTGACTGTTGGGTAGTCAATCTTGTAAACTTTGCTTTGCATTGACTTTAATGCTGGAGGGTGGTCACCTGCGCACATGCAGGAATTCAGTCCCAAGCAACGATAACAACACACGCTAAAAACGCAAAGGCTCATGGGTAGACGCTTGTTTGTAAACAATGACACACTATGGCCAACTGACGCATGCGCAGGTGACACCTCCCTCGCTTTAAATTTGACGCTATAAAAGCAGAAAAAATAACTGATGTGTATCATCAAATCTTGACAGCTTCTTGATGCCAGGCTAAGTGCTTTGTATGATGCGCAAGACAACTACAATAAAGCAAGAAATTCACAAGATTCATACTTGAAGGCAAAGTCAGAATTTGCATACAAGGTAAGATATCTTTTGTATCTGTATATATGGATATCTCTCTCACTTCTTCCTT